GGAATTATGTTAAATGACACACTTCCAAAAAGTACTTTCCGAAATACTAAAATTAGTATTTTAGAAAGTACTTTTCGAAATAGTAAAATTAGCATTTGGAAAAGTATTTTTCCAAAAGTGTGATAGTTTACATATATTCTCAAAAGTTCTTCTCAAAACAATAAATTTAATGTTTTAGAAAGTACTTTCAAAAAGTATGTTAAAAATATAATTCTAGAAAATACTTTTCGAAACACTAATTTCACTAATTCAAAACACTAAAATTATTTGGAACACTGACTTTAATGTTGTATTTTCTAGACATGTAAAAAGGGAGAACTGCTCGAAGAAAAAGCACACATTTGACTTGACATTTTTGAATTGTTAAGGAAGTTACACGTGCCTATAACATTGTCGGATACTAGTTTTATGTCTTGGATATGTGTGAAAACTAAAAGAGGAGAAAGAAAGGGTAATAGGTTGAAAATTGAAAAGGGAAGGGAGAAAAGTAATGTAAAAATTGAAAGAATTAAAACTACCTACTAAAGTAGGTGGAAAATGGAGTGAATACAAGGAGGTGCATGTGAAAATTGAAAAGATGAGGGAAAGTGGTGTGTGGAAAAGAAAGAGAAAGTGTTAAATTACATGTTGGAGGTGTAAAATTAAACCCCTTCTTTTGGGTCATCACACAAAGTTCTTTATCACACAAGCCCCTAGTAGTGAAGGGGAAAGGAGGAAGATGGGTTATATTCCATATGCAAGTGGAGAAGGGAGTATCATGTATGGCATGGTTTGTAGCAAACTTGATTTGACCTCCTTATTCTTTACTTTGAGTATTCTTGATTAACATGTTTGTTGCATATTGATTGTTCTTAACCTTGAAGTTTATCAATGATTAATCAAGAAAGCATATAGGATTCATTCTTCATTAACAAGTCTTTAAGAAACTTCTTTGAAAATTCATATTAGAAAAGTTTGAATTGAAATAAATATCCTAAGAACTGTAAAAAAATTTAAAGTGTCATAGAATCCAATTCACCCCTCCTCTTGGATTGAACCATTCTTTTCTAACAAAGACCACTTGCCAATTCAAAACCCCGCAATATTACCTTCAAGGTCCTCACATTTTCCACCGATGCTTCTCCCACAAAGATTGTATCATCTGCATATTTGAGGATGTTAACTAATTCACCTTTCGATCCCACTTTAACAACTCTGAACAAACCTGAATTCGAAGCTTCTCTAACCAGGCCAGTAAGTCCCTCTACAACCAAAACAAACAGGAAAAGGGCTAGCGGATCCCCTTGCCTCACTAGTACAAAAGAAGTGTACTACGTCGGATATTTTAGGCTTTTTACGTCAGAAAACGTACCGACGTAGAAGCGGGAGACGTAAATTTTACGTCGGGGCTTCAAATCCGACGTAAATTTACGTCGGAAATTACGAAAACCGACGTAAAAAAGTCGTAAAAAAACAAAAAAAAAAACTTAAGAACGCAGGCAGAACGGCCCGTTCTGCTTG